GTTAAAATCTCATATTTTACAGTTTTGTGAAGAAAAGTTTGAAGATTCTCATAGATGTGACATTTTATTGTGAAAATCAGGCCAAATATAATAAGTCACAATATGCATACTGAAGTACAGTGTTTTTACTGCTAATCTATAAGCATATTTAAACAAGCTGTAGCCCTGAGGTTTCATAAATTATAAATTAATTATAAATAAAGTAAATTATATGTATATTCTGGTCATCCTGGGTCAGCATCGCAGGGTAAATGGAATCTGGATCAGAATAGCCAAACTCTCTCTACCAGTGGCTCTGGAAATTAATTACACAAAACACTGTGAGGATGACTTGAACTGATCTTAAAGGTGAAGTAAAGTAAGAATGGTCATGGGAAGCAGGATGATGCTTGGCTCAAGGAGGAAAAGGCTCATGCCCAACATGCCCCGATCCAAACAGCCAATCAAAACCTTTACTTTCAGTGACATCAGAAGCCACTGAAATATAAAAATACAGTATATTTTTACTGAAATGAAAGTGGCAGTAAATTAACTGATGAATTTAAAGCTACATCGCATAGTTTTAGGAAGAATTTTAAAATCTCAAATGCTAAAACTATAATTGATGTTTCTCTTCTTGGAATATAATTAAAACAAATCCCATCTTCTAACTTTAAATACAGATAAGCAGTAACTAGTTGTCCTCCTCTCAAATACTTTGTCTCTATGTCACTGGCTTCTTCCCAAAACTACATGGCAACCATATGATAAAAATGTTGTATCCTAACAAATCAAAGTCAACGGAGATGGGTAAAATAATCATATCCATCAGCATGAATCAGCCTCAGTCATGTCGTTTCCTTGGGGGAGGTGGGAGGTACAGTACAGGAGGGGGAGGAGCAAAGGGTGGGGGATGCTATGTTTGGTTCCTACCCAACAAATCTAGTTCCTCTGGGTCCCAGCTGTAGCACTGGACTAACCAGGCTCTCACCTTCATTAAGGGCTGGCAGCTTTCGGGGAAGATGTAGTTTACTGTGGCCACAAGATAATGAAACACACATACACACACTCGCAAAGTCAGTAAACGCACACACCACTGAGTTCTAGGTTTGTATCTTTGATAAGACAAATTCTTCTTTCCAGTACTCCTAGTGCATTTAGTGACATCAGTAATGGCAACAAACCACTCACAGGTACTGTATATAGAGGTAAGTGTTTATGTATTTATACAACCCCCGCCAGCCGACCATAATTCTTGATTAGGCTCAGATCTAAGGCTAAAGTATTTATGTAATCAATAATATATACCAGATAAATATCTACTCAGTGAGAACCACGTGAATTTTATTTTAAAAGTGTTTTGTTATAATGTTGGCAGTGGTGAAGCTGAAAAGCTGTAGGGCTGGGGAACAGCTGCAGGGGAAAGAGGGGGAAATCTGAGCAAAACTGGACAGAAAATAAAGGCGAAAGTGAAAGTGAAAGAGACAGCAAGAGAATGTGCATGTTTGTGAAATTTAGATTATTGTTAATAGTACAATACAGCAGCATTATTCTCTATTCTTGTAGTGTCTAGATTTGAGAGCAGTGAAATATCTCCCTCAGGATTCTGAAACTGCTGGCTCAGGATTGTGAAATTTAAATAATTAAGATAATAACATTTTTCACTTCACTACATATGCCTTTGTATTAACAAGTGGCCCTAGACATACAATAGTTTTATCCTCGGCTTTGCGTCAGGTTGTCCTCGGCCACCGTGTAGTTACAATCATGCAAACAGCTTGTTGGGTATTATCTCGCACGTAGTTTGTTGCTAACTGAGGCGAATAATATTGTCAGTGTTTGAAGGAAAATCAAAACATATTTAATTAAAACACAACATATCTAATCAAGAGCATACTAATTTCGTTGCGCATTACTGTGTAATGACAATAAAGTCTGTTCTATTTATTCTATTATAGAGCATTACAATAAGATTACAAGTAACATAAATAATGTTGTGCTGAAATGTTAAAACAAGTCATTTTTAAGACTAACAAGTACACATATCATTTGCCAAATATGTTTCAGCTTCGCAAATGTTCTCTCGATTTTATGACTGTAAAAAACGCAATCTGATCACTTCATTGTTTTTAAACACTTTGACATAAGTATGAATGCACATACAGAATCATGATCTAATATTTACTCAGGCTTTCTTTTAATTCCACAATCTACATACTGTATGTGCACACTTTACATTAGATAGTGATGTTGCCTTTACTTTGCCAAAGGGTACCACAGCTGGACAAGATGAGCACGCTGCAACAATTACACTTAAAATGCAAACTAAACAGCAGCTGTCACACATCATGATGCACATACACACACACATTCAAATCTAAACGCAGATGGTAGGAAATGGTGATGGTAAGAAGCAGAGGGAAGGAGATGTCAAGTCAATGAACTAAGGTGGACAAAAATGAGAAAATTAAGCAAACAGCAACAACAATGTCAGTATGAACAATATAAATGAAGTCTTACCCGAGGAACTGAGCGCCTGCCGGACCGACCTCCACCAGTCGGCTGGCCAGGCCTTCTCCTTCCACCATCGGAGGAGGTGATGCTAGTTTGTGCCTCTTGACCAGCCGACAGGTGATGCGGGTGGGCGCCGTGCACTTTCTGGGTGGGATGATAATGCGCATCCCGTTGTGACGACTTCCTCTCATGGAGCCACCCCTGGCGTCGACCATGAAGCTGACCAGGAACCTGATGGAGAGTGAGGAGAAAGAAAAAGGAGAGGGAAAAGAGACAAAGAGTGGTAGGAAACAGACAGAGAGAGGTCAGAGGGCACAAAGACATGATGTAAAACAGTGAAAAAGAGAGAAGCATATGGGAAGGATGAAGAGCCAGAAAGGGAGAGGAAATAGAAAAGGAAAAAGAAGTAAGGCATAAAGTTTTATCAGTTTAACATCAGTACTGATGGAGAGAGAGAACTTTAGTGGGAATGAGGTCACTTTTCCATGCTGTGATCTTCAAAACACACAAAGTGTGAGCGAGAGAGAAGAGATAAAGAAAGAACAGAAATGTCAGGAGTCTTCTGTGTTGGCTATGACTCTGCTTTTACGAGTGGTGGTTACAACAGCTTCATTAGGCAGCAAGAAAATGTGTCAGTGAGCAAACAACTTGCCACATTTCTACTACATTAATGTTCAAAAAATGTTTTTCAAAGTCAGCTTTTAAAAACTGCTGAATCAAAATGACGTCAAATTACAAAATTATTGTGTAAATTAAATATGAATTAGAAGGTCAATATACCAGCACAGAAGCTTCCAATGTAGCCTTTAATTTACCCATATTAGAAAACAGTGTAATTCTGTGTGTAGCTTGTTTTAACTTAAAGAAGGAAATCCCATAGCTCACACACACACACACACACACACACACACAGAATCACACCATGCAATCTGGTGACAGATGTCATGTTAGTTCGTATGTAGTTGTTGAACCTGCCTACTAGACTGGCCTGTGGGTATAATACATTAGTCTAGAACAGGGCTGTATATAACTGGCTGCTGACTGTTGGACCTGAATCTGTAATGACTGACCTGTCAAAGGGCAAAACTCGCTGGTTAAAAATGTCAAATCATTCAGATCCAGCTGTAACCAAAGTACACGTCCACGCCACATTCTGCTAGATCTTGCAATATAAAGTCATTCAGATCAGTTAGAAACTCACAAAGATTTCCTTCAAACAAAAGGGATAAAACCAAAAAATCCAAACCACTTTATGTCAGGTTTGTAATGGCACAGCTGGTGTGTGAGGAGAGCAAACACAGATGTTATGAGTGGACAGAGAGGGGAGGGCATGATGTCACCGGAAGTAACAAAGTAGCGGTGGCAGTGATAAAGAGGGAGACCAATCATAGTCAATCACCTGCTGTCGTACTGCGGGAGCGGAGAGGAAAAACTGCAGGATGGACAACAAAGCAATGCAGGAGTGACAGGTCAATAACAGAGCTTAATCACTGAAAACACCACTGAGCAGACGGTTACTAAGGAGCCATTCACCAGTTTGGGAAGGGCACTTGTTTACTTGCTGGCACAATTAAATGCTAAATGTAAGGCTAAAAACAGCAGCTGGTTACTTTAGCTTAACACCAAGACTGAATTTTTGTTTTTACACTTTACATACGTGTTTCTATGCATTGAACAAAAGAAACAAGACTTGTTAATTAGTGAGCTTTAGAGCTGCTGCTAGGCGGATCTCGGAAAGAGTCATGCTATCTGTTTCTACTGTTTCCAGTCTTTATACTAAGCTAAGCTAACCAGCTGCTGGGTGTAACTTTGTTTTTCTCATAAACGCTCCATCAGAAAAAGATTATGCATATTTCCCAAATGCCACTGTAAATCACAGCTCCTTCATTTCCACAATTACTGTAGGTGAGTCACAGCCAAATCTGCTGCTGCAAGGCCGATATTTTACCCTCAGCATTGGCATGATAGCATAGGGGCTGATTTTTGTATTTGGTTAGAATGAGAGAGAAACTAAGGAAGAAGAACATACAGTGCTATGCAAATGGTTTAGGCACCTGAGATGTTTAGATTCTTGTTCATCAAGCAAACCATGAGAGAGGTATCTGACCAGTCCCAGACTGATTTTGCAGCATGACAAGAAGCTCAAACATACATCCAGAGGACTATGGTGCTTATTTAAAGACAAACGGTGCTCACTCAAAAAACTGATTTGATTTAGGTTAATTGATTGATACATTTTTGAAAACCTCTTTCACAGCTTTGTTACCATAATTACAGAAATGTTGGAAATGTAACTACCACTAACAGATACATTTTACAATTTGAGAAAAAAAAAACAAAGACAATCAGAGAGGATGAAGAGAATCCGCTGCAGGAAAGAAGAGCCATTTTGTCCAGGGGAAAAGCCATGAGAAAGAGCACCAGCAAGGAAGATCAGTAGAGAATACATACAGTACAGGGTTAATGAAAACAAAAAGAAATACTAGTCCTAAATCGCTCCTTCCATAGCCTCCTTTCCTCTAAAAGCAGAAATGCCATGTTCTCATTAGCAGCTTTTCTACCTTTCCCCCTTCTCCTTTGAGACAGCAGGGTAGATATTTTCACTGACCTCCTCCTTCCCTCCCTTTATCCGTTCATCCTGTCAAACATACTTACCCAGAGTGTATTGGTGAGGAGACCAGGTTGACATTATCCATCGCGTCTGCAGTCCAGCTGTACCTCCTCAGAGAGTCGTTGTCAACGTCCTTAGCCACTGCCAAATGCTATGGAGGAGACATCAAGGTCTTTGGAATGTATATCAAATATAAGTGTTTCTGAGGTGTCAGCAAAAAGCTTTGCTCATGGGGCCATGCATTTGTAGAAGTACAAGGTGATTGTATGACTGTTTTTAACCATGTTTCCCATTCAGGGTAAACACTGAGCCAAGGTAAAAACACCTTCTCTGGGGAAGGAGGGGTCACTGCTAGTGCCACTTCTAGGATTTATGGTGGAATCATACATTTATTTCTATACATGCAGCAACTGTCATTAGATATAACATCTTATTAAAACATGAGCTGCTGAAAGCATCATGGTGACATTCAGTATATCAGCAAAGAAGCAAATCAAAGAGAATAACCAACTTCCAAATAAAAAATATATCTACATTAAGAATGGAAAGAAAACCAGAAACCAAGATCCAATAAAATGGACAGATGCAGTCAGTCTGTTACAGGATTGCATGGCCATGCATGGAAAGCAGAACTGTTAAAAAATTATTTGAATCTAAAAATGTTCAAGTAAGTTTAAATACTCTCCTCACAAAGTAAGGTTTTCTTGAGAAAAGAGTTTGAAATATTGACTAAAGGAATTCCAGAATTCCACACTAGTCCATTTGTTACTTCCAGGCTGGACTACTGTAACTGTTTACTATCAGGATGTCCCAATAATTCCCTAAAAAGCCTCCAGTTAATCCAAAATGCTGCAGCCAGAGTACTGACAGGAACTAGCAAGATAGATCATATCTCTCCCATATTAGCTTCTCTCCACTGGCTCCCTGTAAAATCCAGAACAGAATTTAAAATCCTTCTCCTAACATACAAAGCCCTTAATGACAAGGCGTCATCGTATCTTAAAGACCTCGTAGAGCCTTATCATCCTAACAGAGCACTTCACTCTCAGAGTGCAGGTTTACTTGTGGTTCCTAGAGTCCACAGAAGCAGAATGGGAGGCAGAGCCTTTAGCTATCAAGCTCCTCTCCTATGGAACCAACTCCCAGTCTCAGTTCAGGAGGAAGACACCCTCTTTACCTTTAAGATTAGACTTAAGACTTTCCTTTGTGATAAAGCTTATAGTTAAGGCTGGATCAGGTGATTGAGCCTTCCCTTAGTTATGCTGCTATAAACCTAGGCTGCTGGGGGGACCCATGATGCTCTGAGCTCCTCTCTCCTCACTCTCCATTTTAATTTTATATACCACCTTTGCATGTCATTAACTTTGTCGCCTCTCTTCCCTAGCTTGCCCTCTCTGCCTCCCTGTACCTTTCTGCAGGTATACCCAGTCACCGGCCACATCAACCTGCCCAGTGTTTGTTTGTTGTGTCTTGTTGCTTTTCTTTTCTTCTCTCTCTCCTCTATCCACTCACCCCAACCGGTCAAGGCAGAAGGCCGCCCACCAAGAGCTGGGGTCTGTCGGAGGTTTCTTTCATTAAGGGAGTTTTTATTCCCCGCTGTTATACAAGTGCTGTCTAATGGGGGATTTGTTGGAATTTTCTCAGTACTTTAGATTTTATTATTGTATGCAAAGTGCCCTGATTTGATTGTTATTGTCATGTGGAACTATACGAATTAAACTGAACTGAATTAACCCCAAAAGACAGTACACATTTAAAAATTCATATTCACAAGAATACTGTGCAAAAATGTTGAACAAATAAAGTACATGCTCTAATAAAAACTGTCCATGAAAACAAAATTATATTGTATTTAAATCATAAGAAAATCTGAAAGACAGATTTTCACATGCACTGAAAGAAGGACTTGTACCTTATTGTGTTGCTCTACTATGAAAGACCTTTCCTTACGGAGCATCTGCAGCAGCGTGAGAGGGGGTGCGATGTCATTTACCAGCTGTTACATTCACAAATAACACATTTGTGTGATGCTGAAGCTTTGTCAAATTACAGCACTGTGTGTCTCCGTGATCAAGCCTAAATGAGCACCCCAGGCTTAGTACTAGTGCTGGTGTGGTAATGGACTACAAATTCTTAACAAAAACTCTGAATTATAAGATGGGTGCAAGGAATTATGTTTGTTAGTAAGGGTGTAATGAAAGTCACTATTAAGTTGTATTATGAGAAATGCAGTGCTTCTGGAACTAGTTTGGGAGTACTATTGAACCTGAACTGAAAACGTATTGCGGTCCTATCAGTAGTGTGTTGTATTACCAGCAAAACTGGCATTTTTCACACAAAAGCCAACTCTAACAACATATAGCTGATTCTGTCTTGTGCTTCTGTTACTGAGCACATTTCTACAGTTGTGTGGAGGGCTGACCTGGTAATGCAGTGACCCATGTTTGATGCTAATTCAACATTTCAGCCACTACCTATGCCAGAAACACAGAGGCAACCCTTCATTTTGAGTTAGGAACTGATGCTATATATGCAAAGAGCAAATACCGTTTCATTTTAAAATCTTAAAAACACAGCAAAGGTTTTTAACTCTAACTCATTAGGTTTGATGCAAAAGTTCACTGATGGGGACCTGGTGATAAAAGAGGCATGCTGTCTTTTAGCCAGTAGGTTAAATTCTACACTAAGTTCCACCTGAATTCCTCACCATCATAAGTGCCATTCTGATGCATCCTTAAAGTGGCCGTGCCATCACAGCAAACACTCTTTTAACCATTAATCTCACTTCCTCTTTCAGTAAAAGTCGTCTTTATGTCAACACCAATCCAGGTGTAAGAGGACTGGTGAACAGGTTTTTGGAGACAGGACCGTGTGTCTCATGAACCTGCAGACTGCTGACTAACAAACAGGGAAATGGAGAGACTGAGAAACAAAAAGAGAGGATGCGTGTGCAGCTATAGTCGCCGTACGTACCGTCTCCTTACTGGGCGCCAGCATCTCCTCTATCATCATGCTGTCCCGTGTGAACGAGCTCCGGTTCAGCGTGTTGGACCTATCAGAACTGAAGGAACGCAGGCTTGGTGTGGTTGTCGAAGCAGTCAGGGATTACCAAGACAACAGTCACAATGATGGGGAGGGGAGGTGAGGGGGAGGAGGGCAGGTGTAAGAGGGAGTGAAAGTGAACAGAAAACACAAACATAAATGCATTAAATGCATGCAGCTTCCAGGAACCCGACTGTGTCCCACTAGCAACAACCACAATGCAAGACCAAACGAGAAAGATATAGCTGGTGTGTACTTATTTGTCTGAGGCAACATCTTAAACTACACAAAGCCAGGAGGAATCCAAATGCAGCCACATCAGCGCTGGCTGACCTTCCAAATAACACCTGTTGGATGATGAATGTACAGTACAAAAAATAAAAACTAGACAAACACTACAACACTTTGTAGATAATTAGCTTCTGTAATTTTCTCATCTGTTGACAACGAATCCACATTAAACAGTAGACTGTTTCTGTCTGAGTGCATGTTTCACTGACTGCCCGCTGTGATGCTGCTTGTGATGAAGTTTTGACTTATGAGGCAAATGAAGAGCGCTCCTGAGCAGTGACATGTGATGAATGTTTACAACAGCGCTATTTGCTCTTCGCTAGTAAACGGACATGAACCTATTAGCCTGAGGCAAAACAACAACACAACTTGAGATACTAAAATGACAAAAATATGGATATACACTGTATCCTTCATGCTATTATCTCAAGATTACAAATTAAGCATCTGGCTACAGTGTCTCAGTGTAACAGGTATTTTATTGTGAAAACATGATTATTTTGAGAAAAAAAAAAGATTGTAGGTAATCATCCTTATATTTCAACAATAAGCTTTATATTATGGAAGAGAATATAGCTCTAAAATCACAGAGGAATGTATCTCTGAACATTTAGAAAACCATATGAACAGTACAGATCGAACGGTCTTGAGAGGACGAGACTAAAAACATATATTCAACCTTGGCCGCTCTCTGCTTCCTTTATAAGGCAAAACATATAGTACTGTATATAAAACACAGCACAATCTGACTTTAGTTCTAATTATCACTGCAATGATCTAGTGTGTGCGTCTATGTTTGCAATAACATACCCAAAACATTGATCATGTGCCGTTTAATACGTTTTAGATTTGCAAGGTCAGATTTGTGTTATTCGGCTATTGAATGCAAAAAAACAGTTACACCTAGCTTGATCAAAAATTAAACTAATTTATGGCACAGTCACTCCATTTCCCATGACTTAGTGCTTTAAGCATGCAGCATGTATTTGCACTTGGCCACTTCCTTTACAGCTGTACTTACTACTACTCTGTGTGTATGCTGTTAGCCTGTGTGCACTCTGTGAGCCCAGTAAACTTTCCATTGATGGACACTGAACTTTCCCTGACTTTAAAAAGTTGTCATTAACAAAACAAACTTCCATCCTACTGTCTGATGAACTTTTTGTTGTTTCTTTTCAAAATAAATGTTTAAGTATTTCCATTAATAAGACTGTACTTTTTAAAGGTGAAAATGTAAACATTTGTTTTAAAGGTAGTTATCCTTCTCGGGAGTTACAGTGTTTGACACAACTGACCAGATTAATCTGTGCTGTCCAGGCTTTGTTGGAAGCTATATGACACTAAACTGATGAAGGCAATAGCATCCCTATTGCCCACTAATAATCAGTTCAGGTCCCTGGAAGCTCGATGAAGGAACACTCCACATAAAAACCAGAATGATGCAAAGCTCCACCTTTGTGGCAAACCCACAAAGACCTAGGCATAAATGATACAGCCACCACAGTCAAACACAACAGGCAGTTTTGTACAAGCACACAACCCAGCTGAGCTTTTTTTCAACTGAAAGCAAACAACTGGACCAAGATCACACAAGTGGACTGCAGTATACACAACACAGTGCCTGATCTGGACATACAACTGTGTTAAAAAAGCATAAAACTGGTCACAGTCATTATGTTAGTAATGAAATGAAATGGTAAACAACAGTGAAGCACAAAGTCATGATAGCAGCTGGGGTTTGAGGGTGTAAATGGAGGACAAGAAGTGAGATGAGTGGGCTAGGGGGGTGGTGAGGGAGGGGGACGCCTTCATGTCTTCAGCCTTACCTGACTTTAGGACTAACATTTGGAACGGACATGAGGAGAGAACAAAAGATCGTGAACAAATAGAGGAGTGGACACAGAGGTGAAGAAATGCAGACTGGTAGAATGAAGCCAGATGCTGACTGACTGACAGACCAAGCGACTGAAATCCTTACTTCTGACTGAAATATCAGCATTCACCTACATTTTCCTACAAATTCAGTGATTTGTTACGGAGCTGTGAGGAGGGAGGAGCTATTCCAGGGCTCTATGCTAAATGTAAATCTCCTTCGCTTTCTACATGTACAACTGACTGACATTTCGGGCACTTCCAAGGTTTGCATGGGGACTAAACACATACAAAAGATGAGCTGTGTTAGGGAATAAACAGTTATTTGGATAGATAAATAGACAAACAAATAAATCACAGTATAAACAGACTTTCATTTGGAGTAATGAACTGTAATGAAATAAAAGATGCTAAAACTTTACAGAGCTGAGGGGAAATGAAGACAGGTGATGGTTATCTGTGGGTCTGATACACATACTCACATGATCCATATTTCCATATAAAAACACTGATAAGTGCAACTTTAAGGAGACAAGTTAATTAACATTTCAGTAGGAAATATCACAGCTTAAAATTCAGCATCCATAGAATGATCTGAATACTCTAAACCTCTCATCCTGGCTTCTTGTCTAAGCAACAGCAGCTGGGTCTTGTGGGTATTGTAGTATTTAGAGCCATACCAAACTGACAGAAAAAATTCTTCAGAATTAAGTTGTAATAATTTTAACAAACAGACAAATGGTAAACTGAAAGAGTCTTTAAATTATCCAGGAGATTCTCCATGTTGAGGATCAATGGTGCTCTGCAGCTCCTCCCACCTCTACATTTTGTGGTGTTCAAATAACAATAGAGATCCCACAATGTTTTTTAAATAATAAACAACAAACACAACATAACTATTTTTTCACTTCACTAATTAATTCGTAAAAATTTATAAAAACAATACAACAACTTGGAAAAGGATGTTCAATTTTTAAGTTTCAAAAATAATTCACTTGACTCAAGCCTATTAATCAGCCCTAGACCTAAACATAGTTATAACTCATTTGAAAGTCTCACCCTGAGTCTCTCACACCCAAACTGGAAAACTCAAAAGCCTGTTCTGTTTGTTATTGTATACCATCCACCTGCTCCTTATTCAGAGTTTTTAAGTGAATTCTCAGACTTTCTGACTGATTTAGTGCTTAGTACGGATGAAATAATAGTTTTGCCCCAAAACCCTCTTCTGTCTGACCATTTTCTAATAACTTTTGAATTTCCATTAATGGATTATACTCTATGTGGGAAACAATTCCACTACAGCAGATGTCTATCTGGCAATGCTGTTACCAAGTTTAAGGAAATAATTCCGTCTTTATCTACTTCAGTGCCATTTGCCAAAACAGTGGAAGGAGGCCACCTTAACTTTACTCCCACACAAGTCGATAATCTTGTTGATAGTACTGCAGCCTTCCTGCGTAATACACTTGATACCATTGCCCCTCTGAAAAA